GACATACTTTTTCTATTTTGTGTGGCTGGCTTAGACCACAGTTCTAAAGGCATTTTATTTTATTTTATTTATTTATTTTTGAGACAGAGTCCCCCTCTGTTGCCCATGCTGGAGTGCAGTGGTGCACTCTCACCTCACTGCAGCCATGGCCTCCTAAGCTGAAGCAATCCTCCTGCCTTAGCCTCCTGAGTAGCTGGAACCACAAGCAGGTGCCACTACACATGGCTAATTTAAACAATTTTTTTTTTTAGAGATAGGGTCTCACCACATTGCCCAGGCTGGTGTTTAACTCTTGGGCTCGGGCAAGCCTCTCACCTTAGCTTTCCAAAGTGCTACGATTACAGGCATGAGCCACCATGCCCAGCCTCTGAAGACATTTTAAATGTCATCCCATGGAATCCTAAATTTCTCTTATGCTTTTGGCTTGGCCTAAATGATATGGCTCCAACGAGTGGAGGAACACCGGGGCTTTTGTCTCACATTGAATTAGACGAAACAACTCGGACACATGTGGAGTGGTTCTAAGGCGCAGACAGTTTAACAGGCGAGAAAGTTACGGAAGACAGCAGAAGGAAGACGCTCCCCCATACAGAGACAGAGGGAGGGGGGCTCTAAAGCCAAAAGAGGAGACCCCAAGTGGAGCAGAAACCAGCCAGGTATATGCAGAGGCTGGAGGAGGCAGTGATGTCTGATTTGCATAGGGCTCAGGGGATTGGTTTGACCAGGCATGTCATTCATGTAGCCCATGAAAAATCTAGCCCTCCTACCCTAGTCTTCTAATATGCAAATACAGGGCACCACGATGTTCTACATACGTAGAGATATGTTAGGGGGGATATGTTGCCAGGCACATATGGGAGCAAGAGCAAGGGGCAGAGGGCAGGAATCACCATGTTTGGATGGACCCACTTTCTAATGGCCTCCATTTGCATATCGAAGGTTGCCGGCCTGGCTTTCCTGCTAGACAAGAAACATTTCTGACTTTAAAAACAAAAACTTCCCAATGACCCCTTTCCTCTCTATCTTCCTAAAATAATTTCTTAATAACTACCACATTAACTCTAAAGTTGTGACAATGGCAAAGCCCCATCCCTCTCCTTCAAAGGGCTGGCATTCAGATGGGAAAGGAGGCCAATGAGCTATCCCACCATACTTCCAGGAGAGGGGTACCCAGGAGATGGCGGAAGTGCCTAAAAAGCAGAGCCATGTCCTGAGGCAGGGCAGGGATGGCAACAACTCCATGGCATATCTTCCATGCATCCAGGCTCTCTTCCATAGCATTTCATTTCATCCTAACCAGTCTTGTGCAGCTAATGTTTTTACCATCATTTTGTAGTAAACAGTAGAGGAAAAGCATGGCCTTTTGTGTCAGATAAGCCTAGTTCAAATCTCATCCTCCCAAATTATCCACTGTAGGGCTCTTGGGCAATGAGAGAAGAATTTTGTGGGGGGAAATGTGCTTTTCTTTTTTTTTTTTTTTTTGACACATAGTCTCTCACTCTGTCACCCAGGCTGAAGTGCAGTGGTGCCATCCAGCTCATTGCAGCCTTGACCTTCTGAGCTCAAGCAATCCTCCTGCTTCAGCCTCCCAGAATGGAACCACAGGTGCATGCCACTGTACCTGGCTAACTTTTAATAGAAATAAGGTCTTGCTCTGTTGCCCAGGATGGTCTCAAACTTCCAGGCTCAAGTGATCCTCCTACTTGTGCCTCCCAAAATGCTGGGATTACAGGCGTGAGCCACCACACCTGGCCACAAGTGCTTTTTCCTGTCCTCTCTCACCACTCACTACAATCAACACAACACTTCTAACACCTGATGTGTGGGAGGTCTTTCCCTATACACCAAGCAGTCAATCAATTCTGACACCAGATTCAGCAGCTGACACCAGCTGGGTGTCCTCTTTTTCAATTCTGACACTATGTACCTGGAGACAGTGTCAGATCCCATAAATTCAGGGCTCAGTCCCATAAGATGAACTCCAATTCACATGCCAGTCAAAAGCTCCAGGTTGTAGCCTATACTTCTGGCTGACTAGCTATAAGTCTGGGTTCCCATAACTCCCTCTTGGGTTCAATTAATTTGCTAGAGTGGCTCACAAAACTCAGGACAACACTTACTTACATGTACTGGTTTGTTATAATGGATGTTCACAAAGAATACTGATGGAGAGATAGGTAGGGCAAGGTACGTAGAAAGGGATAAGGAGCCTCCCTACCCTCTGGGACATGCCACCCCACAGGAATCTCCACGTGTTCAGCTAACTGGAAGGTCTCTGAACCCAAATCTTTGGGTTTTTATGGAAGCTTCATTACATAGGCAGGATTAGTGTAAACTAAAAACAAAATTCTAAGCCCCCAAATTGACTGAACAGACATCTCTTGGCCAAAGGGACCCCAAAGTAAACTTGAAAGCTGAGTTCTCAGCTATGATGGGATGGGGGATCAGACACACCCTGTTATTCCCTCCTTCGCTGACAATGATTATGCTTTCTTCCCTAAAGGCCTAACAGAAACCAGACCTTCCCAAATCTCTACCACTGATATCAACCAACCGCCTGATGCTGCCCTTCCTGTTTTACCTGACCACCAACCATGGAGTCATTTTGGCCAGTCTACAGAGAATGCACAGCAAGGGTTTTTGTGTCCTCTGTTTCACCTTTTGATGTAAGAGGGCCAAAAACTCCACCCTCAGATAACCTCCACGCCTCCATTTTTGAACGGGGAGAAGCATGAAGCTCAATTGCACATGCGTCCATTTCTCCCCTCATAAATATTCATGACTTTCTGACAGCTTATAAATATGTATATTTAGCCATGCTGCTCAATATAAGTTCATGTTCCCTTAGCCCCAGCCTGGAAGTGTCTGTTTCTGGCTTCTGGGTGGAGGCTACACTTCTCAGCCTGTCAGAATGGCCGTCCTACAGGATGATCTATAAAGAGAAAATAAAGCTCTCCTTTCCAAATGTATGAACCCCATTATTCTCCAGTTGACATTGGTTAAATCATGGCCATTGGTGATTAGCTTAACCTTCAGCCTCTGTTCCCTCCACGGAGGCTGGAGGATGGGGCTGAAAAGTCCCAACCCTCTTATTCGTACCTGGGTCTTTCCTGTGACCAGCCCCATCCTAAAGCTGCTTAAGGGCTTCCAGCCACAACTTAACACACAAAAAGACACTTACTGCTTCGGAGATTCGTAAGACTTCCGGAGTTGTAGGTCAGGAAACAGGGATGAAGACCAAATATATATTTACAGTATTACAGGCAAGTTACTTAACTTCTCTGGGCTCAATTGACTGATATTTATAATGAGACTAATACCAACTAGAGTTGCTGTGAGTACCAAGTGCTAAAGATAGATAGATAGATAGATAGATAGATAGATAGATAGATAGATAGATAGATATAGATAGATAGATAGATTCATCAAAATAAAATAATACCAGGTTTGGCAACATAGGGAGACCCAGTCTCTACCAAAAACTAAAAAATCAGTCATCCATGGTGGCTTGCGCCTGTGGTCCCAATTACTTGGGAGGCTGAAGTAGGAGGATCACCTGATCCTAGGAGGTCAAGGCTGGAGTGAGCCACGAGTGTGCCACTGGACTCCAGCCTGGATGACAGAGTGAGAACCAATCTCAAAAACAAAAAAAGATTTTGTGTTTGGCACATACTTGGTGTTCAATAAATCACAGCACTTTTTAATTAAGAGATTTACCCAAGGTCTATCTTGTTAAGTGGCCTAGAACTTGATGGCTTCTTGCTTTGTAAGATCCTAAGGGTATTTCCCATGTCAGCTGTGTGGTTTGCCTCCTCTCTCAGGTTCTGAGTTCTTCCAGGACAGGGATAATATCTCCTACCTTTTTGATTTAGTGGCCTGTATTTAGAATGACTTTACTTATATGCTAGTCCTCAGAAGTAAGATACCATTTATTATGTGATATTGAGTTTTCTACTCACTGGTATGTGTAAATGTTAATAGATTAGGCAAATGTCTCTCTGACATAAGTAAGCACCATTTTCGACTTATCTTCCATCTCTAGGACCAACTCTCTCCATATATGTCTGACCAGGGAGACCATAAAACAGGATTTTTGTGATGAATCATTCAAGTTTTATGTTCAAATGTCATGAAAGAAAATGCAACTTATTGCATCACATGGATAGGAATGAAGGACAATTTACCCTCAGCTAAACTGAGAGATCCTGAAAACATCTGAGGTTTTATATACAGTATTGTGTATATGTGTGCCTGTTTCATGACACATTAAGCAACTCATTTCCTCTCTTATTCCTCCACCCAGTTCCTGAGAACTGCCAATTTTCCCTATTATCGTTTCCTGTTAAATCCATCCTGTTGCCTCCCATCCCTTTGCAGGCTCTCAGCATTCTTCACTTGCTATGAAATGCTCCTGCAGTGGCTCTCAGATGTCAGTCTTACCTTCTGGAACCCAGGCTCCACCCTGGCACCAGACCAGTGTCTCTAAAATGCCATGGACCTTGCCCCTGCTCTGCCACCCAGTCCTTCAATACCGCCTCTTCTCTACCCATACAGCTCTTTACTTGGAACATGAGGCCCAACAACCTGGTGTTGAGCTCAGAACACTTTCACATGCTGACTACTTTAAACCAAAGGTGATTAGAAGGCCTCAGAAGCGAGGTCTCTCTGACCGTCTCCCATCCTCCTGTCTCCCACCAGTCTTTCTCCTCTGAGGTGATTCATAGAAACCAGAATTCCTCTTCCCCAAACTGGGTCATAGAAACTAGAACCCCTTTCCCCCAGAGAAAGCCGTAAAACCTAGAAAGGCCACTCCCTTTTCCTTCTCCCTTCTCCCTTCTCCCTTCAAGACCCTCATTTCAGAAGGGTCCTGCTCCATCCCCACACAGAGAAGCCAAGAAAAATCCGAACAGGCCTTGCTGGATTCCCCTCCCCTGCGCCGACCTCAGCTATTACCATTAGATCACACTCTTTTTGTCTAATTATAGTCCTACATGGCTAGCCATTCTTAATTGAACCTATGCATTAAAAGAGTTTTTCCTAGGTCATTGGGTCTTTATTGCTGAAGATTCCTATATCATGTAAAACTTTGATTAAATAAACGTGTTATGCCTTTCTCTTACTAACCTGCCTTTTGTTATAGGAGTGTTGGCCATGATCCTTATTATAGGTGAGAAAAGATGTCACCTTTCTGCCCCTATAGTTTCTGGCCCCTAAAATAGGAGTGGTTGAGACACCTAATTTGCTCTGGAGCCTGTGGAATAGATCCTGGGACAACTGACAAACAGCCAGCAAAGGAAAGGTAAACATTTTTTTACCAAGGTCAGCTCTCCCGGACCTCTGCCTCTAGTGTTCAGTTAAGAACTGAAGGTAGGCCGCGCGCGGTGGCTCATGCCTATAATCTCAGCACTTTGGGAGGCCGAGGCGGGTGGATCACAAGGTCAAGAGATCGAGACCATCCTGGTCAACATGGTGAAACCCCGTCTCTACTAAAAATACAAAAAATTAGCTGGGCATGGTGGCGCGTGCCTGTAATCCCAGCTACTCAGGAGGCTGAGGCAGGAGAATTGCCTGAACCCAGGGGGCGGAGGTTGCAGTGAGCTGAGATCACGCCATTGCACTCCAGCCTGGGTAACAAGAGCGAAACTCCGTCTCAAAAAAAAAAAAAAAAAAGAACTGAAGGTAAAAATTTCTCAATAATTTCCATTCCAAATTTAGGTTAGCAGGAGAAAATCATTTGTATGGATTGTGACTCTTGCATAAATTTGGTTTTGGGGTACCATTTGATATTGATTCTTTCCCTCCCAGGGACAGCTGTTTCATTCCTGTTGGTCTCATTTCTTTCCTGAGTGTTTGGCTTTGTGACCAGTGAGAATACTCTGTCTGGTCTCTGCTATCAGAAAAGCAAAGTATCATCATGTATCAGGCAGCCAGTTGAATAGACTGGGAGCCTCTTCTCTTTGTGAGAGTGAGTCAGCTCTCAGATGAGTTTGACTGACTAAGAGGTCCCAGTCCATCAGAGGCTTTTGTTGTCTCAACCTCGGTTGCTTCGTCCTGTGGCAACAAAGGTCTTTATTTGACTGTCCTTAAGAGTGGCTCTGCATCTTGGGAGGGCTGCCTCTTTTGAGTAAGTCTCATTCATCTTTGGTTAAGTTATAAAACACTTCCTGGTTTTGATTCTGTATTAAGTCACTTGGTAAATACCTCTGGTTTAAATGGAGAAAAAAAAAAAGGCCAGGAATATTTGTTATTGTCCCAGCTGGAATCTAATAATAAGGGACTTGAAAGGTTTTTTTTTTTTTTTTTTTTTTCCTTTAAAGGAGTTCTGTGGTCAGAAGTCAGGTTACTTGGAAACTAATATTCAGGATAAAATTTTTTTAAGTTATTTTTGTTCTATTGGATCTTGCTCACCCTAGGAGAACATCTCAGTTGACTGATACCCTCTTCTTGCACCCCTGCAAACTATATGCTCGGTCTTTCTGCCCACTTCCTTTCTTGTTGGCATAATTTTTGCTAAGGATAATGTGGAACTTCATTATGAAAATTAAACTTTCTCCAAACTGACTCCTAAAGACTTCTTCTACTTACTTCTGTCCCTCCTTCCTTTTGCTGCCTCTGATCTTCTATTCAGTTCCTTTAATCCTTAATATGTTCCCCTTCAAGCTCCTATCTCCTCCATTTGGTGATCAGTGGATGGAAAATTACTAAAAGGAAACATCAGAGGTAAGAAGAATTGAGGTTTCTATAGTTAAACTTTAGTCAGACTTCTGAAACTTCTCCAAGGCCCATCTCTGTACTTCCTTGTAAAATCCTATAGGAAATTTCTGTAAAATCCTATAGTAAATTCCTGTAAGTCTATGTTGCCTTGACATCCATTTTGAATCCTCCTCAGTCCCACCTAATTGACTCACTCTCCTCCTGGTCAGGCTCACCTAAAGAGTGGCTTTTCTGATAGGCCCATCAGGGCAGGGGTAGAGTTTATAGCCACTCTCTAGAAAGAAATCTCAAGACTAAATTAGTGAAAAATGCGACAATTCAGTTTTAGCAGAAATAAATGTCTTATCCATTCACATGGGTCTTTGTGGACAGTTAACTGCTAGATGTCCCTTCAGTCACCAGCCTAAAATCTAGTCCACAGCTTCCATAAGATTGACCTCTGATAATAGGTTTTTCTCTATTCACCATATTTAAGAAAGGCTGTTAACAGAGAAACTTTGAGATATAAATTTTCTACCCTGTTTTCTCTAGAACTTGACGGTTAACCTTTGGAAATACAAGCTTCAAAGAAATAATGATCATCTGAAAGAGAACTATTTAGAAACTGGTCAGATAAAAAGTCTTAAACCCTTTTTCTACAACACTTGGGAAAAAGCTTGAACTATCTGAACAGGTAGCCTCAACTTGTCCCATTCACCAGAACTAGTTAGTAAGTCTTAAATTATCAGACCTGGCACATAGCTAAAAGTTTTAGAATGAAAGCTGTAAAATCTGCTTCTATCTATATGTTTATATTATTAAATATAATATAGATGTATATTTTTGCCTGGGTTTACTGGTTATACATGTTTGTGTTGCCTCTGTTAAATGTTTAAGACCATAAAAGTGTAAATTCAACCTAATGGCAGAATTCACACTAAAAATAAATTGCCTGATGCATGTCAGTCATGGAGAAAAAAAGAGAGGAAAGAACCACGTTTAACTTTTTAGTTTCTTGGCTTCTGCAGTATTTTTGGCATTTGCCTGATTTACCAATAACAACAAAAAATATTTAAGATAGTGGCCAGCTTTGTTTAATGTTTTATAAAATTTTCATTAACAGTTCAAGCATAATTGTTAAGAATAACTAAATTAAAAGAATATAAGTTGTATAAAAGTTTAAGTGAGGTTTTATTAATAATTATAAAATATGTCTGCTTTAAAATAGCATAAAATCTTTTTGATAACTTGAAACTTTGAAATAAAATTAAGTAATAGATACCCATTAAATGTTTGAGTCATTTCAAAATAAGTCGAAATATCAAAACATTAATTACTAAGCGTAAATTTGTTTATATATTTTGTCATCTTGCTTTTATATGACATAGAGAAATGAAATATATTTAGTCTGCTAATAAACATGAAAAATTGAGGAAACATGTTTCTAAAAAGTATAAAATGGTGAATGCTGATATAAGACAGTTCATAATATTTGCTAATTTTCACCAGAAATTAACTTTACTAAGAATTTGAGATTAGGCCAGCCACGGTGGCTGATGCCTGTAATCCTAGCCCTTTGGGAGGCCGAGGTGGGTGGATCACCTGAGGTCAGGGGTTCAAGATCAGCCTGACCATCAGGGTGAAACCCCATGTAAATAAAAATAAAAAAAAAAGAATTTGAGATTGTAATTAACCTATTCAAAATTATAAGGGAAACAATACTGTATACAACAAAAATAGTCATAAAATCTAGAAATCCCGGGAAAGCCTTTTTTTTTAATTCTGCTACAACAGTCATTCAGTTTTCCGCTAAGCTTCTCTTGCTGTCCTGGCTTCTGGTGGGCCTCTGTTAACCTGGGTGTGATAAGTATATTTTACCATGCAGAATACCTTGCAGTGTTGCAAAACTGTTGTCTTTCCCATCCTCTTTCAGGAGAAAAAAATTATTTAAACAAGGTAATATACTATAGAGCAAGTAAAATTTTACTATGTAACTAACACAAGCCAAGGAAGAATTGAGTGCTAGGTGTTAATTATTTCCCTAGGTGAATCTTTTAAAAACTCACATGTCTGCAACATGAATTGTCTTTTACATTAAATTTGGCAGTACTGATTCTTAAGAGCCTTCAAGTTTCATGACTTTTTCTTTAAAAAGTGCTGCTACAAGATCCATTTTTTTCTGAGACAATTTTCTTAAATCATTAAAGAAGAAATCATTGTATCACTAGTAAGAGTGGTGTATTTAAACAATATTACAAATTCCCTCTAGAAAGTTTATTTTCTAAACTTACTTTGTAATTGGTTTCAAGATTTGCTACTGGCATTAGTTTTGCTGTGAAGGGGCACAATTTCTGTTTGTCATTTTGAAGTTTATTATTATTTTGTTGTCAGAAGTTAATTCTAAATATGTTTTTATATAACAAACACAATTTTGAAATCATTACCATCTGGCCACTTGTTTTCTTAGCCGATTCTTAGCTTGTTACTGACAAGATTACCAAAGCAGCTCTCAGTAGTTTCACTCTAGAGGGAAGGATTAGGCTTTCTCACTTGCATGATGTAAGGGGAAAAAGGAAGCTGGTGTGTGTGTGTGTGTGTGTGTGTGTGTGTGTGTGTGTGTGTGTGTATTTTTACCTCCTTCTTCCTTGTCTTTAAGGCAAACACATCACATAAAGATGGTTGATTAGAGGAAGAGGGAGGTAATATTTCTGATGTCTAGATGGCTAAAATAGAGACCCCTAAATTATGTACATGAGACTCACAGTTCTGTCTTCAAACATTTGTTCATTCACTTATTTTTTTTTTAATTGCTCATTGAGCATCTACTCAGCTCCAAGTGCTGTGGTAAGATTAAAAGAAGGCTGGCCAGCACCTGTGGAGCTCAGACTCAGGTAGTGGGAAGAGAGACCTGGAAACAACTGACCTTCAAATATAACCAGGACCAGGCAAATGTCTTTAGAGGCCTTAAACACACTGAATAGCGTGTGATGTGCTACTCATCTATAACTTTCCGTATGTAAATAAGTGTAAAGAAGTCCGATATAATTGTGATTACTTTCCTTAAAGATTACATTTACTTGAAGAGGGAGGAGCTACATATTTTTCCACATTTTTATTTTGCTTTATTGCCCCAGCTTTATGAGTGTCCTAAGGCTATGCTTAGGTCACCTGGGAAATCCAACCCTAAGAACAACTCTAAGAGCACTTGAAGGTGTTCATAAAACTCAGTGGAATCCCTGAGGACTGGGCAGACACTTGAGAAGTGGTCATCAGTTGTACTGAGCAGTTAGCTTGTAACACTGCATGGAAACATACAGGTTCTCACTGGGGGAGTGAAGACAGAGACAAAGCCACTTAATGGCTGCCCCCTTAGTGCATACACCATGTTTGGGAAGAATGCATTTGGAGGCTTTTGGGGAAAAAAAAATATTTCATAATCAAGTGTTTGCCTAGGATGCTGCCTTTTTCCTGAATGAAATTTATCAACATCTGTTTCATGGCCACAAGATAATTGCATATTTATTGAAGTTTTGAGACCCATGTATACTGGCTAGAGCACTCACTGAACAGTTTTGGAATCTTCTTATAAAATATTAGATGGGACTTGTTGAAGTTACAGATTATAGACACCACCCAAATTCAACATTCTGTAAGTTTTTACCATTAGTTTTATGGCTGAGGCTATGTTAGCTCTCTTTACTCCCTTCCCTTGTATAAGTTGTTGGCATTTTGGAAGGAACCCTTCCCCATTTTCCACAACAATACAAAATTTTAAATAATTTAACAAAGTTGACTGTTCACTGAAAAAGTTAAAAAAGAAACAAAAAAAATTGACCAAGTCCCTTTTTAAAAATTTATTTATTTATTTATTTATTTATTTATTTAGAGATGATGTCTTGCAATCTTGCCCAGGCTGGTCTCGAACATCTTTGGTTCAAGCAATCCTCCAACCCTGGCCTCCAAAATTGCTGGGATTACAGGTGTGAGCCATTGTGCCTGGCCAACCAAGTCCCTTTGAGTCATTTCGTATCAAAGTGAATGCAGCTGTTAGCCGGATTCTCCCCAGCTAAGTGATCTTCAGCCCACATGATTTGAAGAACAGCCAATTCCAATTCACAGTTGAGCCACAGCAAGATTTAAAATGCAGTGCTACACTTTACAGGTCTTCTGGCTCTTTCAGCCAAGATGTTAAATGTGAGACATCTAAAGGACTATTCTACTGGGAACATAGCCAGATAGCAGATATGCCAATCATGGTTAGAGCTGAGCTTTCTGCAAATCCAGGGGCTGGTGGGTACCCTCCTTTCCTTTTGGGTTTCCTCTCTGCTGAACTCCCATTGGAGACAAATAGTTCCAAGAAAGATGTGACGAGCAGAATAAAGGCAAAACATGAGGCTGGGGAAATAAATCATTGCCTGAGTAAGAAATCAGATTTTAGTTGAGGGCTTTTAGGATAGATATCTGCATATAAATTGGGATTTTTAAGGTAACTCAAAGATTCACTCATTAAATCAATAGTATTTAAGCCCTTGGGATGAACTCAAACTCTTGACTTTCTTAGATAGACTCTACCCTTTCACACCAACTCAAGAATCACACAGTAAGGGCATCTCACCTAATTAGGTAATTCTGAGGTACAGCATAATTGGATACCAGTTTTAAAAGAGGTGAATGCTTGCTCTCCAGGTAAAACAAACAGAAAGGAAACCAGCTTTCTCCACATTGCAGGAGAAATGGTTTTATTGCCTCAACTGGTAATATCATCATTAAAAACTGGTCCTGCACACTAATGACTGTTTTAATGGATTAAATGGAAAGACGTACACTGAATGTCACAAGCAGTTAGCTTTGCATGCTGGAATTGCTGGAGATTTTTTCTTTGGATATTTTTGTAGTTTTCAGATTTTCTTCATTGAGCACATTATTCATTCAGTCATTCATTTTTATTATCAAGCAACACCTCATTCTAAGCCATAGAATTAGCGTTCCCCTTGGCTTAATTTTTTTAATTATACATGTTTGGGGAGAAAATTTAAGTGGTAGGTGAAATTTGAAATTGGGTGGAAATGTATTTTATTATTGTATACAAGACTCAAGATAGACTAATTCAAAACTCAGAAATCATCATTTCCTTTAATGCAGTGGTTCTCAACTCTGACTGCACTTTGGAATTACCTGGGAAGCCTTAAACATACTAATCCTAGATCACTCACTCAATCTCTCCAACCAGACCAAATGGTTCAGAATCGTAATAGGGCCAATTGTTAGTATTTTTAGAAGATCAACTTTTGACGATATCTAAGGTTCCATATTACAATTCGTTTATCTTCATAGCATTGACTAGGAAGTTACCTTACAGATGGTCTGTAACTTACAATGACTCAACTTACAATCTTTCAACTTTATGATGAATTCATCTAGGTACTAAATGCATCTCCAACTTAATAATACTTTTTTCTTATAATGAGTTTATCTGGACATCACCTCATATAAGTTAAGGGACTTTCTGTACTTTAAATTTGATTCTGTACGTGAATTGTTATATTCTTTCATTGCCACGGGAGAGGGTGGTAACACCTACTACCAAAGTGTTCCAGGTTCTATGGTACAAGAACTTGGGAACTTTTATTAGCCATGTGGTCACTTGCTGAAGCAGTCTCAGAGGTGGTTTCTGAGGGAAACAAACTTTCCCATAGGTATGATGCCTTAAGCTCACTTCGATGCTACACTAGGGTGATCTTCTGTTCAGCTGTGTGTCCCCATTCCATTCCTTAACTTTTATAACAATATACATTGTATAACAATACAGTACATTAGACACCTTCCCATCTGCA